GAACTAATAATACGAATTTGCAAGTTAAAAACAACAAAACTACATAAAACTAATCTACACTTTGCTCTTTACTCCTTTACTAATGTTAACCTTACACAAACCAACTCGCATGAAAGGTGGATTTCTAACTCGCAAACTATTCTAAACTCTATTACTAGTGCGATAAGATCAGTTATATTCTGCTGACTCACCATTAGATTAACCGGGCCCTCTCTTCGCCCGTCAGCCATCAGTCACTCGTTGACAGGCACACGACTGCTCAATTACATTCATAGTATAACCAACCTTGTAGAAGATATAATAAGGTGCATATTTGGAAAATCTGAGCGATAGAGAAGTCATATCGTTGAATATTTAAGTGATTTACAATTACATTTGAAAATCAATTGTCTAAGACCACCGGAGGCTTTTCATTGATATTATTAATATTATCTTCTTTTGTGTAGGCTCTGGACAACTTGCTACATTTTTGTTAGGGCTTGACCTTACTAAGGCTGAGTTGCACCACCCAACTTTAACGGTAACTATAACGATAACCGGTGTTTTTCGTATGGAGTTTGACAAATTTTTGACGTTTGTCAATGTTAAAGTAAGATGGTGCAACCCAGCCTTAGTGTGTCAGACTCTGTTTGTAACATTGATACAAACACAAAATAAATAGTATTTCCTACTTTTTGTGTCCACCTGGAATCGAACCAATGCCTAATGAGGGCTATCGTTTTTATACTTAACAGTTGGCACCCCTGGCGATTGACAGGACCTTACTCTACAGTGGCGCCATCTTGATGAGTGCAAATGCGATAGTCCTCCTACCACTTTAGCGCTCACAAGTTGGCGCCACTGTCTTCGCGACTAGCAAGTGACAGGACCTTACTCTACAGTGGCGCCAACTGGTGAGCGCTAAAACGATAGCCCTCCCCTCATTGAACAATCTAGAATCTTGTAAATCACATAGCAAACTGTTTTATAAAATTTTATTGAAATCAACATACTTACCTTTTTATAAAGATTTACTTGTACTTGTACTAGTTTAAACCATGTTGCGTCGCATTTACCTATATTCCTGCTTAATTATAAAACTATTAAAACATGTCTCTTCTTTATACAAAACACTCAATTGATACAACAATCTGTTACTGCTCTCTATACACATAGAGCAGTAAAATATAAAGCTTGTAATACCAACCAACGCTCGTTTCATATGATATACCACTCTAACCTGTATTAACTACTATACCATCAAAAACCATATTACTAACCAGTGACCCTCTTTTCGCGTGTCCGTCACCTGTCCCTGTCAGTCACCCTTTGATAGTCGCTCGGTCTACTATAGTATTGTAAACAAAATTCGACCTTCAGACGGAGCCGTAAAGGTTTCGGTAAAAATAGCCACCCTTATTTGGCAATAATCGATAAAACGTTCATTAACGGTATCTGTAATAAAAATGGAAATGCGATATTAACTTCGTCTGTCTGTTTAATAAGCGAAAGCTACTGAACTTATTTTAATCTAAATATTTATAACTCAAAGGTGACTAACTGACTGACTGACTGACAGTGATTTATCAACGCACAGCCCAAACCACTGGACGGATTTGGCTGAAATTTGGCAGGCAAGTAGAGGTTATCACGTAGGCATCCGCTAAGAAAGGATTTTACGAAACTCCACCCCTAAGGTGGTAAAACGGGATCCACGCGTACGAAGTCGCGGGCGGACGCTAGTAAAGATATAATTATGTTGGACCTAGGTGAATAACTTCTAGGTTACTTGTCGATAAGTTCTGGTACACACACAGCCTTGAACTCTTGTTCCTTGACTCGATCCTTAAAAAATATCTATGCTGAATCGTGTATATGATGGGGTGTTAAATGGAAGTTAAAACTAAACTCATTAATACAAATATTTCCTTTTTAGTTGTTCAAAGTCAAAATAATGGCAATCAGTATGTTTTATCGCAATTCTANCCCGCGCGAGCGCGTGCGCAGCACGCGCGAGCTTTTACGAAAAATTTAGCAGTGTACTATGTAAACCCCCCCCCCCCCCCGCACCTCCCCCGCGCCGCTCCCCCGCACGGCTGCGCACGGGGCGGATATCGTTTGTCAAAAGATCTTTAATTTGTAGAGAAATTCATTAAAATTGTTGATGTCAATTATAGGGTTAATAATATTATTCTCTTATTTCTCTTAGATCTACCTAATATAGTTTTATAATCATGCTAAGAAATTTTTATTAGGTAAATAACAGCTATAATATACTTGTCATCGATTCTCATGCTCATATAAAAAAAATGCTTTGTCAAACTAAAATAAATTTGCATGGGACCATAAAGGAAGTATGTCCTATCGAAAGAAACAATAATACATTCAACTCTGAGTTCGTTTAAAATTGCATTATGTATTATTTTTAGTTAATATTGAAACCCTCATCTGCATGCTTGACTAGTAAAAAATGTTGTAAAGCCTCAAGTCCGTTCGTTTTGGATTATTGTTTTTCAGCTCCCCTTAAATAAATAAATACTTAGGTACTTACCTGAAACATGATGAGCGTAGCCGCACTGCAGCTGCAGCCGCCGACCACGGTCGCGGCGCTCGGGCCGCGCTCGTCGGCCGCTCGGACGTGGTCGGCCGGTGTTCCGCTTGCTGGAACTGAGAAAACAACTTCACTAGTAATTTTAAAAAGTTGGAGAGCATGTACATAGTTGAGTTGAGACAAATATGTATCGCTCAAGAAGGACGGCACACTGTTTAGTGTCAACAATTTTGAAATGGCAATAATTTAAATTATGCTCACGTCTGTGTCACAAATCAAAAGTAAATGCAACGATTTCTATACTGAGGGTTGCGGTCGATAGTGTTCATCAGCTCCTCAGTCCTCGGTTTCTTAATAACTCAAGTGCAAGTAACGGTGGATGTTTAAGAAAATTATAATTACCAGCAGAGAACGCTGTCTGCCGAGTGAGCGCCGGCGCTGCCCGCCCGCCGCCCGCCGCCCGCGCACCTGCAACCACAATATTCTGCGTTAATACCATCACTTGTCAAGTCCAGCAGACACTTCTGATAACATGTCCGTATAACATCTCTAACATTTATGTTTGTCTCGAAGCGCTGGTAGCACCCAAAAGATAAGGAGACATGTAAAGTGCCCCATAAGGGCTACCTTTTATTTTTTACTACATTTTGACGTTCATAAGTGCCACTTGTGGCTAAACTGAATAAATATTTTTGATTTTGATAGATCAATTTAACGTATAAAAAGGCGACAGTTATGTGGGTTTATGTAGACATACATCTACTTACCAATCAAAATCATAATCCCCATGTTTCTGATGAAAGCCGCCTGGATCTCGGACGCGGAGGATGATCTATCTCCCTGTCCCTGGGACCCGCCCGGTGGCTGCCGCTCGAATCTGTAATTAAACACAAAAATACTTTAATATTGGAAAACATTATTATCTAACTAAAGTCAGAATAAGTAATAGTTATGTAGGTACCTACTTCATTAAATTAACACAGTACGAAAAGATTATCACAAAATGTGTTTTAAAAAAACGCCCTATTAATAACCGGGCGTGAAATTATTTCAGCAATGACGGTGNAGACTGTGATGTCTTCACGTGACGTCATTACTCATCAGGTTTTGTTGTGAAATTAATTCTCAATCCAAATTTTTCTTAAGAAATCTCAATTTATTGATTATTGTTTGAGTTAGACTAAAGAAAATATCATAAAGTATGGAGAACATACCTCAAACAAAATGACTCCTCGGCGCGGCGGCTAACTCAATCCACCCACACCGGTGTAATCTCACTGCACTGGCTTGATCTGTAAATGTAATATTGGAAGAAATTAGTATTAAATTAACATACATGTGTTATTTACGTATTAACATATGTATTAGAATAGTTATCTACCGGATACCTTGTATTTACGAGCTTCCAATATTTTCGGCACAGTTGCAAGCGCCATGATCACGAAGTAACTGAAGATCTTGCGAGTGAGATATGTTATCGGCTGACATATCGATCTACCCTCTTTCGCAGTATTTTATTACGATCGCCTCCGGTACCACTGTTCACCAACTCACTATTTTTTCGCAACACTAATATTATCTGTAATCTGACTGTTAATGACTAGACCCACAGAAAACATTATTCCACATTATTAAAATCGTTATGCTGAAAGTACATGCGGAAAATTGGCCAAGCCGCATCAATGTGAACACACATACTTGACAAGTTTCTTCTTGGTGGGCATGTATTGACATTGATGCGGCTTGGCCAATTTCCCGCATAGTGCACTTTCAGCATCATAATCATTTCAGCCACAGGACGTCCACTGCTGAACATAGGCCTCCCCCAATGACTTCCACATCGCACGGTTGGTAGCATAGAGTGGTAGCGGCCTGCATCCAGCGCCTTTATCGGGTTGTCGGTCCACCTTGTGGGTGGACTTCGCACGTTGCGTTTTCCGGTACGTGGCCTCCACTCCAGAACCTTGCTGCCCCATCGGCCGTCAGTTCTGCGTACTATGTGCCCTGCCTATTGCCCAGTGTACTTTTTTTCCAGCATTAAATAATGCAATGACAAGATTAATCAACCACAGAAAACAACGAATAACGATATTTTATTTTGTTTTGTTCAATAATTAATTAATAACATGATCGTTTTTCGTCATTGCGGGTGTATCCCACTATTTCCATTATAAATTTCCATTGATGGAAATACTGATGGGAGGTTCTCCCACTATTTCAATGCTGGGGTAGTAATGTAAAGTATGTGGTGGACAATTGTTCACCATAAAGGAAGCGGCGATCGTCTATACGCGCCCTTATGCGTTTTTTTTTGTCGCAATGGAAATAATGGGATAAAATTTGGAAAAAAACATTTGTCCCACTATTTCTACTGCAACAGTGGGATACACCCGTCATTGCGACGCGGCGCATGCACGAATTCCTGGAAGAATTATAAGAGAGCGAGGCGTAGGGATAACTGAAAGACGGATCACGATTATAACTCTTTTATTATAATAGTTCAAATGCATTTTGGTTTCATTGTTGTATATTAAACGTTAATAAACGTTATTTATCGGCGCCACCGGGAGCCGCCCGGACGGGACCCGGGCGGCCGCCGCGCGCGGTCAAGTGATAGAGTACGAGACGTACACAATCAATAGAAAATTTCATATACATATAAGTGATATCTTCTTAAGCTCTCACTTTCGTTTCGAGTCTAGCCTACAACGGGGGCCCGTGAGGGCCCCGCGTACGATACGATATTTACGATTCTAAATAGGAATTTTAAAAGTAGACAAAAGCTTCACAGAACAGTTACATTTGTGATTTAAAAATACTTTACGATGATTAAACGATAACTATAATATAATAATATGTACATTGATTATCACTATACATACAATATCTAATACTGTTTTAATCTGCAAAGCAACGACATTCGTGCGCCCGCGCCCGAAGCCCGGCAACTCTGACGGATACAACTTACTATATTTGCATTAACACAGTATTAGATTCGAAACTGGTATGTTTCACGAACAAGGGCTTCTGTTAGTCAAGCGTTTTGTAAAACGAACTTAGATAAAAACAATTTCCGATAGACACTGACAACTCGAAAGATCTCTCAACAATCTTCCGTAAAGTTTACCTAATGTGCTCTTTAGCTTAACGGCGATTCTAATTAAATGTAAGTGTACATACATTTGCTACACACACAGCCTACGCCAAAGCTCAGCCGCGACAGTCGCGAAACCTCACCGACACCGAGCACGCACACGAAAGACAATCGCAAAACAGAATACCAATTTTCAGTGTTTAGAGCTTGACGTACCAGTTTGAGAATATCCTTAACATCATCATAGACTACTGAGGAGGTAACACTGGAATTTTCAACTAGCAAAAATATAGGTATGTACAAAAATATTATGCACTTAATTATTATCCTATTTGTTCGTCAAAAAGAGCGGAGGCCGACTTCCGCTCGATCGAAGCGTCACCATCACAACGGAGAGTGCGGTCCGGCCGAGGACAACGTCGATGTCATAATTGAAATCTCTCAAAAATTAAGTAAGCGAAGCCCTCGTCGAACGGCGGCGAGACGCGGCCGGCGAACGCTCCGCGCAACCGTCTCGCACAACACACCGCCCGCGACATTACATTTGTACTATGGTCGCTCGCACGCAACATTCAATCACCCGGGCGACTCCGCCCGCCACGTTCTTCCACATCTACAAAACAGGAACGGAAAGCGACCACCGCCGCACGCCACGTCGCGTTCCGATCCCGCGCCCGCAGCTCGTCCACACACATAAGGCATTCTTTTAATATAATTTACTCGCATCTCGCAGGCACGCAGCAGGCGGGCGCGGGCGCGGGCGGGGGTGGCGCGGGGAGGGCGCACACGGCTCACACGTAGTGCTGCAGCATGGGCGCGCGCTCGTGCTCGGGCTCGGGCTCGGGCTCGGGCTCGGGCGCGGGCTCGTCGGGCGCGGCCCAGTCGCGCGCGCGCGGCGCCAGCAGCCCGCACAGGCGGCACTGGAAGAAGTCGGCGCAGTTGTTGAGCGGCCCGCGCGAGAAGGGCGAGCGCCCGCCGCGCGCCTGGAAGTGCCGGTAGCGGCCGCGGTTCAGCTGCTCGTTGGTCGTCATGCCGAGGCACACCACCTGCGAACGACGGCGGCGAATGAGTCGGGGCGCGTCGGAAGGAGCCGGTCCGCCTCGCGGGGCGGCGGCCGCGGTCGCTCACCAGGTAGAGCTGGCAGCAGAGCAGCACGGAGACCCAGAAGAGGTGGAAGGCGGCGTTGAGCGCGACCCAGGCCAGCCAGGCGTTGCAGCGCGCCCAGCCCAGCAGGCGCTCCAGGCCGGGCCCGGCGGCGCCGCACTCGGCCGCCCAGTAGGCGCAGCAGCCCCACAGCATCCAGGCGCACATGCCCACGAGGCTGGCCAGGAACCCGATGAAGTAGCGGTGGTTGCGCGCGCCTGCACCCACCCCACACCCGACTCAGGTTAGTACGTTTGCGGATGGCGACGCTCGGATTCTTGAACCCGTTCGAGGAGCGCGTGGCGCGCGTGCGGCCGGACCGTGCATCGCTCGGTGCGATTTCGGTCACGATGGAGCGCTTTGCGAGTAGATAGCGAGCTTTTTGTGTATATTTAGGGTTCCGAACCTCAAAAGGAAAAACGGAAACCTTACACTGTAAGGCCTACACTGTAGGCCCTGTCCGTGTCCGTCTATCAATAGTACGAGAGGGGACCGCAAGTACAAAAAAAATTGATAAATTATTTTGAAAATTATAAATAACTTGAAAAAATCGAACTGCCTAAGGCGGGAATTGAACCCACGACCTTCCGCTTGCCGGGCGACTTAAATAAATTTTGATAAATTATGTTTCACATAACTACATTTTTCAAATTCAATAATTAATAGGCATGTTTCGGCCTTATAAACCTTGGCAGACTAAGGCCTGTATTCACAAACGATGCTTGCTGAAGTGAAGCAGCAAATCGTACGCACAGCGTTGAATAGAGTGATTGGTTCGTGTGTCACCCTCACCGTCATTACTATGTGAGACCTCATAGTAATGTTTGTGAATACATGCGTAATTTATATACTTAAATTTCGAGTCGATATCCATCAATCTGTTTGTCTTTGTATTATAACGTAAATTAGGAGTCCTAATCGTAATCTATGAGACCGCACAAATTTAAAAAAAGCATAACCCGTAAATTTTAGTTACCTACATCATAATTATAAGAAAAATATTTTTAATAATTTTAAACTTATTACCCTTTTCCTCATGAACGCGTAACAGGTATTAAATTGAAATTCATATGAAATACTCAGGACTATAAGACCTTTAAAGCTGTGACAAAGTTATAAACCTACAGGTTTGTACGGAACCCTCGGTGCGCAAGTCCGACTTGGACTTGGCCGGTTTTTTTTTTACAAAAGCGAAGATTTCCGCTACCCGCGCGCCCCTTCGTCGAACGGGTTTCGAGAAATCGAATGAGCGTCGCCGTTTACAAAAAAAATTGGCCCACCCTTTATCGTTTTGCATCAAAATAAAAAAAAGTCATAAAACTAATTTGTTTAAGCAAGTGTAGGCTTTCAAAAAGCACTTTTACACGTCCCAGTATTAAGCCAAAATTTATTCACAACTAAAAACGGCACATTCAATCGATCAATTAATCTAAGCCGTGCACGTTTAAGGATCTCTTTCGAAAGGACAAAGCCCAGGCTCGCACTCACCGATGCAGTTGCCGACCCAGGGGCAGTGGTGGTCGAACTTGGCCACGCAGCGGTTGCACACGGAGCAGTGCTTGGAGCGCAGCGGCCGCCGCACCAGGCACGCCGAGCAGAAGCGCGCCGGCTCGAACCCGCCGCGCGCCGACTCCGACAGCTCGATGATGGTCTGCGGCGAGAGCGGGCGTGAGACGTAGTTCCGGCGCGGGACGCGGCTCGCCACGCGCGGCACTCACCTGGAACTTGTCGGCCTTGGACGCGGTGATGACGCCGGGGTCGCTGCGCCACGAGCGCAGGAACGTGACCCACAGCGCGCCCGAGCAGCCCACGAAGGCGGCCGACGCCCACGCGCTCACCACCGGCCACACGAACACCGCCCACGTGATGTAGAACCACACCTGCGTTGAGACACACACAGACTCGTAATCGTTTATTTTTATTTACATTTAGATGAACGTTTTAGATCAACCAAATAATAGTTCTTGCAACTCACTAATGCGAGTGAGCTTGTGTGTGATAACGATAGTATAGATGAACCACGCTGAACTGTCCCACCAAACTCAATGACAGGGGGGCGCTACCATCGTTCAACTATATGGTTTCCAACATGGCAAAAATCGGAACCAGCGATCCGGTATTGACGGTGGCGCCCACTGTCAATGTCATGCATAGGACAGTTCAGTATTTTGGAACTATACATGGATAGTATAATGTCTAACAAAACTTTTGAAAAACGAACAGTAGCGAGCCACCACACATGTGAGTGTCAGCGCAAATGGGCCACCGACCACAGCCACCGGTGGCAGTCGCGCGGCTACCGCCACATTTCTAAGAGTGTCAGAAGCGAGCGACAGCCACCGGTGCCTGGAAACCGCCACATTTTAAAACCCGCTCGTTGTATTATTTGGATTAGGTATTTTAAAATATTTGGATCCACTTAGGATTAGGTAAATCAGTACCTAATCCACCTAATCGGGGGGTGGAGCAGTGCGACAGTGGCGGGTACTGTAGCGAGTGGCCGCCACCGAATACACGTGTGGGGCGCGTCTATACAAAATATGTTGAAGTGTGTTAAAGTCGCCGTGGGTCGCTGGCGACCGATGGCTGTGGTCGGTCGTCCATTTTCGCCGAGGCTAAAGTTCACTCGCCTTCGTGAATTGCAACAACTATACCTACTTGCAAAATTAAGCCTAGGCTGGCACCAACTTTTAGTTGACCGATTTTTAATTGTATGAAGAATCGGCCGATACCAAACCGGTGTTATGTGCGCACTTTCATACATCTCCATACTGATTAACAGCCCGACCCAACTATCGGCCATCTAAAAATCGGTGGTCTGCGCCTAGCCTAGGCTAAAAGAAATAATTCGATGTTATCAAAATGATGCTTACCTTTGTGGCCAGGTATACACTGAGAGGAAATATGTTCTTCAATTCATCGTCAAATAGTATGTTTGAAACAAAATGCAGTAATGCATAGAAGCAGATAAGAATGAACATCTTGAGCAGGAAGAACACCTCCATCTCCAGTACCAGGCCGGTGACATAGAACGCGATGAAGGGCATCACCACCACACACCACCATCGAAACTTCTGCAACCAAATTTATTCAAGCTTAGATTAATAAAGCATTCAACAAACCAATCAATCAATCTTTTTAATTACTTTAAATTTAGGCTAAAAATATTTTATTTTATTCTATGGGTTTTAAGAGTTTTGTACATAATCAATAATAATCATTACTTTTATTTATTTGCAATACGAATACAAACAGTTTTGATTATGATAGAAAAAGTAACAGATTACCCAATAGATATTAACTACTGTACTGTATCCACTAGGTAGGAGGCACTGTCGTTAAGAAAGACAGATGAGGCCTTTTTGTACTTAAGAAATTTTCTATTGCATATGTCTAAGTATTTGGAACTGCGAGCGGCACACTAATCAGAGGGTTATAACTAAAATAGAAACAGAGGGTTATAGTAACAAGAACTGATTTTGGCCTGTATTGCGAAGATGTTGGGTTTCCTCCCACTAGTGTTGATACTAAGTTAAGTACATAAGTGGTTTCATGTTAGTTTTTTCAGTGTAAGCTTACCTTATCATATGCTAATCTCCTAATTATATTTCTCTTACTGGAAGCCAGTGTATGTTCTTTAATTTTGTCTGTGACCTTAGAACCAACCCACAATGAGTCGGCATTGCTTTGCAGCATGGCTAGTGGAGTGACACCACGCAGGTTGGGGATATCTAAGCTAGCGTCACCCTGTGAAGAAAAGAAAAGTCATTGTGATCCAACAAATCATTACTTAATCACACNTATCACACAAATCTGCTAAAGAAAATTTCTTGTATATGTATTATTAATCACATATAGATTTTAAAACCTGGCGAAATTATTAGGAATTTAAACTTATAACTTAATCCAAGTAAAGTTCTTGACTGTTAGAAAATCATTGTAACTGTTATAGCTTTGTGCATTAGCATCAAAAGAGACCTGATGATGTAACTGCCATCACTACTCCATCACCTGTATAGCATTTTCAATACTCATAAGTTTATTGCTTCCATAATAGTAATATAGATGTTACAATGTGTTGATACAGATCCTGTTTTTTTATTTTTTATTAAGGAAACAAACAGCATGAGTTTATACATGTGAACTTAAAAAATAAAAACAGTACAGTAGCCTAATCAGTTTCCACAGATAAACTTTAGAAGTTAATCGAAAGCTATGCAGAGTGCGAGCAATTTAAAATCACAAAATATAAAAAAATGCACAACAAAACCTTAAATTCTTAAAAGTGGATTAAAAAAAATCTTTATAATAAAGTTTGAAATCTATAAACCCTTCAATAGGCGACGAAACTGCTGTTGAACTGTTGTTTGATATACAGTGTCAACTCTGGTCAACTCTATGAACAACAATTAAGGGACTAAGCATTTTTCAACATTATAGTAGAGTCGATGTTAAATGAAGAGACAAAAGGGCAGAATGAAAATAAGGTAACGAACCAAAATCAAGCAAAGCATGTTATAAGGGCTTTGTCGTTACATTGAGTGTTTTCAAAGAGTTTACACTGTGAATATAAAAAGTTCCGACACGATCACTCACATAGAGGAGCAGAGTGGATATGGCCGTGGTGTTGCGCGCCAGCACGGCCCAGTGCAGCGCCGTGTTGCCGTGCGAGCGGTCGGCGGGCCGCGTGGACGCGCCCAGCGTGAGCAGCAGGCGCGCGGGGTCCACGGCCGCCACCTTCCAGCACGCCCACATGAGCGGCGTCATGCCGCCCGCGTCGGCCGCGTCCACCGGCACGCCGCGCGCCACCAGGTACGCCACCACGGCCGTGTGCCCGAACTGCGCCGCCAGGTGCAGGCACGCGCAGCCCTCGGCGTCGCGCAGCGCCGGGTCCGCGCCGGCGCGCAGCAGCAGCACCGTGGCCTCCAGGTGGCCCTGGCGCGTGGCCCAGTGCAGCGGCGTGGACTGCAGCTCGCCGCCCACGGCGTCCACCGCCGCGCCGGCGGCCAGCAGGTACTGGATGATCTCGCGGCGGTTGTTGATCGCGGCCCAGTGCAGCAGCGTCACGGTCTCGCGGTCCGGCTGGTTCACGTCCCAGCCCGCTTCCACGAGCTCCTTGACGCGAGCGAAGGCGCCGTACTGCGTCGCCTTGACGATGTCGAACCCGCTGTAGTCCCGCTCGATCGGTGCGGGCGGCGGATCCCGCTTCGGTGGCCCGTCCCCATCGGGCTGCCCCTTGCCGCACTGGCCGGTGGCGGCGGCTCCGCATGTGCTGTCGTACATGCTGCTACAGATATTGCTGCTGGCTTCAAAAGATTCCCGGAGACACAGGCATTTTATGGACAATGAAGATTTACGTTCTTATGCTGCGTTTTTCTCATAAGATAATGACTATCGACTTTTGCACAGCCAACGATAAAATTATCTAAAAGATTTTTACACTGGTTGTCAGATTTTCTGATAATTTCGCAGTCGTCGCCGTCAATTTTCAGTCCCATTTATTGACAAAATGACAACATATGACATAGACAACAGATAAATCTGACAGGCAATGAGACCACAGATGAGACAAAAAACTAGTTTTTTTTGGTACCGTTTCTTTTGCATAAAAAGTAAAGACATCATGATATACAGCCGAGTCCCTAGTTTTTATTTTTCGTAGTTCGACGGTTCGATTGACGATAAATCAAATAAAAGCAATGTGTCCACCATCGTTCAACTGTAGTTTCCAGGCAAAAATCGGAATCAGCCGTAGACAGAGAACTGTTTACGGAATCAGCAATCCGGAATCGACGGTGGCGCCCCGCTGTCAAAGTCATTTTAAGGTCCATACATTTGACTTATATAGAGTAGAACTACACTGAACTGTCCTTTATTTGACACTGACAGGGGGGCTACCGTCAATAGCGGATCGCTAGTTCCAACTTTTGCCACGGTGGAAACCATGTATAGTTCCAAAATACTGAACTGTCCTATGCATGACATTGACAGTGGGGCGCCACCGTCAATACCGGATCGCTGGTTCCGATTTTTGCCATGTTGGAAACCATATAGTTGAACGATGGTAGCGCCCCCCTGTCATTGAGTTTGGTGGGACAGTTCAGCGTGGGTCATCTATAGTTGAACGAAGATGGTGGCGCCCTTCTGTCAATGTCGTCAGTGGGACATTTCAGTGTAGTTCATGTGTAGGAATTATTTCCTCTATAGTCTGAGGCATTCTGAGGTCTATACCTAAATAAATACAGATTAAAAACAAACGACTTGGCTGTATCACTTAATGCCTTTGCCTTTTCCTGCAAAAGAAAACAATCAAACTTTATTACGTGCTCTCTGAATCAAAGTAAAAGCGCGGGAAACGGCTGGCTAATATTTATCATCGTTCTACCGTTTTACTATAATTTTTGTTATCATTATCACAGAGCACGTATTAACCACATAATCATCATCAACTAAAAAATAGGATCAGTAAAGTAGTGTAGTGTATTTCATCAGGCAACTGGTAAGTTGTTCTTTTCATATTTGGTTTCGATGGACGTCTCTAATAAATTATTAGTTTAGTTAGTACTTAGTCAGTGATAATCCTGGAGGAGTCATCCCCCCAGGCTGTCTCGTCCTTGGTAAGCGAAAGCTCTTTCGTAGATAGGTCATTTCACAACTCTTGTTGTTTTTTATTACAAAGAAGAAAAAGAAAAGAAAGGGACTATTAAATAANTATCCCATCCTCGTCGCCAATTATTAAATAATAAAGTACTTTGATATTCTATCATTTTATTAGTCAACACAATCCGTTTCCATGGAAACGTCATACGACACGGCCATAGACATGACAGGGACTAAGAAGTCCCCGCCATATTTCACTTGGTAGGTACTACCGTACTACCTACCTATAATAATATTTTATTCCAAAATTGTTAAAATAACAGCTCGCAATGTGTTTTATTCCACCCTGAGTTCCACTCATATAAAATATATTTTAAGAACTATTTTTAAAACATCATAAATCCCTTATAAATGACCCAAAACGTCATTCCCTAAGCATGTCCGACATGTACTCCGAAAGTTTATGTTTCTGCACCTATACAGGGTGTTGATTTCAATCCTCGCCATATTTAGGGAGTTGATTAAAAGTAGCTTATTCTGACCACGAATCAGTAAAAAAATTGAAATTGACTTCGAAAAAAATTTAAAACGAACTAACTTTGGTTAGTGGTAGATTCATTTATTTAGCAAAATCTACCGATGTACAGGACCTACATATAAGAGTGAATTCGTTCGACAGCTAAAAAAGTAAGCAATAAGTTGACATCAAAAAGTTTACCAAAAACTCCCATTTAAATCTCTTAGAAACACTTGAAACGTTAAAAATAAAGTAAAAAATTATGCTTTTATTGATATTAATACCTTTTATGGTCTAGTTTTTTTGTATCATTGAACAATTTAAAAACCAGCATCATTTTTATGTTTCAAGTGTTTCTTAAAATTTTAATGGGAGTGTTTTTAGAAACCCCTAAACCCACACAATGGAGTAGAAAATGAAAAACAAAATCATCACACCCACTTTACATGTGCTAGGTACTTACCCCAAAAAAATTTTTTTATTTTTTTTTCAAATTTTTATTCTAAAGCCTGGTCCGTGAGCACGTAGAATTTTCTCCAATGACCCCAAGCTACCCATCCTTATCGCTCGCGCGTAATTATATTGCTGTCGCGCTCGCACACTCACTGGCCGCCCGTAGCACAGTCGCGACAGCAATATAATTACGCACGAGCGATAAGGATGGGTAGCTTGGGGTCATTGGACAAAACTCTACGTGCTCACGGACCAGGCTTTACCACTTTGTCGGCGTGACTAATAAAGTACATACCTCCATAAAATTACAGCTCTCTAGCTTTAGTGCCAACAGTTTCCAAGCAAAACCTCGGGCGGACAGACAGACAAACTGACAAGACGGACATAACGAAACTATAATGGTTATTTCTTTGTCAGGACTACGGAACCTTAAAAATGAAAATAATGGTAAATTGTTACCTTTGATGGACAGGTGTTACCAAAAAGAATATGAGTTTCACACTAGGATTTATTTGTAGAATGAGGATCAGTACTGTTGTAGAAAATTCAATAAAACTAGTATCTACGTTAATCTTTAAGACATAAGAAAGATATATCTTTTTGAATTATCCAAATCGGACCATTACTTACGAAGATATTAAGTAATAAACATAGGCCGTTTTTGCCGCTAAAAGTCAACGTACGCAAGGCCGCGTGACGTCATTATATCCGAATCGAGCGCAGCCGGCGTACTAATGGGATGGAAAATATTTTTTTCCGGCTAAACTATCAGTTTTAGAAAAAAACTTTTAATAACATTTATTCTTCAAAATAAAGTAACCTATCGACCAGTAATTTTTAAAAATAAAAATTGTGAAAAATAAGTATTGCTATGTCCAAAAACCACATTTTCATAGGATTCGATGCAATGCGGAGACGCGGTTGGGGTGAGTGTAACTTAATGATTGTTTGTATTGAACATAATAATACTTAATATGATGCTAATACCCAGTACCTCTAGTAGGAAAAACTTTCGAGTTCGTTTCGTTGCGTATTCAAAGTGTCATCGAAAAATTTTGTATGAAAAATTAAACAGCGCCCCCTATATTATAGCCGCCCTAGGGGGCGCTGTTTAATTTTTCATACAAAATTTTTCGATGACACTTTGAATACGCAACGAAACGAACTCGAAAGTTTTTCCTACTAGAGGTACAGTGAGTAATTACGCACGAGCGATAAGGATGGGTAGCTTGGGGTCATTGGACAAAATTCTATGTGCTCACGGACCAGGCTTTACCACTTTGTCGGCGTGACTAATAAAGTACATACCTCCATAAAATTACAGCTCTCTAGCTTTAGTGCCAACAGTTTCCAAGCAAAACCCTCGGGCGGACAGACAGACAAACTGACAAGACGGACATAACGAAACTATAATGGTTCTTTCTTTGTCAGGACTACGGAACCTTAAAAATGAAAATTATGGTAAATTGTTACCTTTGATGGACAGGTGTTACCAAAAAGAATATGAGTTTCACACTAGGATTTATTTGTAGAATTGTACATATACCCACAATCCAATGTTTGAAGTGTTCAGAGATTCTGAGAAAAATAAATATTAAGACCATACCAATAGTGTATGGCCCTGTACCTTCGAAATACCGTTTTATATCATTATTTTAAGGAATAAATCTTGCGAAACCCTTGACAATGTTTAACATTTCCCCCTGCCCGCAATTCAATTATTTTGAAAAAATTGGTAAGATAATAAACCTGGAGGTTAATCCACGACGACAGATTTATTGGGTTTTAAAAAAAACGAAGTGGTAAAATAGTTACCATTAATTTATTAATATCCTAAACATGCCCGGCTCAGGAAGCAGGAACCAGAAAATAAGCTGGTCATTGAGGATTTGCTAGCATGTCAGATGAAATAAAGAAAGTCAATAAAGCTCTCGGTTTATTAGTTAAACAAATATCACTTTTATTTACAACCGAAGCAATCACAAATCATAGTACAAACTAAACGTAATCACCTAAAACTACTTAACAGATCGAAATATTTACAATAGAATTAACAACTCGTCGACACTTGGTGCGGTCGGACGCATGGAGCGGGCGCGGGGCGGGGGCGTCACGCCGTGGCCAGCGGCTGCGTCACCACGGGCGAGCGCCGCCGCGGCGACGCCTCGTCCTCGCCGCCCGCCTCTGTCAGCCGCAAGGCCACCTCCAGGTCGCGCAGCACCTGAAACCACCGAAGCTGATTATTTGGTAATAAGAATAAGCTCACACAATGTAATTAATTACATTTTAACCAACCCTACCTAAGTACCACCACCGCTATTTTCTGGGCATTTAGACTTTCCCTAAACCTTCACAAATTAGCGACGAGACAAATGAACGAACGGCAATTATTTTAAGATTGCCGAATGACGTCCACAGCTGGACGAAGACCGTTTTTCTCAATACGTATTTCAAATCAAATAAAATAATTTTATTTGCTTTTAAAACATGGTAATTCGTGTAATTATTTGGAAAATTATATTATTATTTTAGTTTGACTGTTACGGTAAATGTGATAAATGTGAAAATTCTTCATAATTACCGGTATTGTGAATAAATTATTATCTCATAATTTGGTAAATGTGATTAATATGAAATCATTTAATCTATACTAATATTACAAAGAGGTAAAGTTTATGTGTTTGTATATTTGTCAAATTGTAAGGGGTTATCTCGGGATCTACAAACCGATTTTAAAAATTCATTCACCAATAGAAACGTAATAACTTTTAAACTAAGCGGAATATCCTGATAAAATAAAAATAGTAATAATGCTACATAACAGGCGATACTAAAAAAATACACAAAAAAGGCCAACGAATATTGAAAAGTGATACTTTTTGAAAAAAAAATGCTTTTAAATTCGTGTTTTTTTGGTTATTTGATAAATTTCTCCAAAAAATGCCCCTA